TTTTTTCCATGAAAAATAGTTATATCGACTTTTGCTTAAGAAAGGTGATGTGAAATTATCATTTTAGGCAAAATTCAATAAGTTCGGAGTGAAAAATCGATCGTACGGGTTTAAGTACACGAGGAATTCCACTGCCGTACGAGAAGTTATGGTGGAACTGGAGAAGTTCTTCAACTCCGACGCTATGAAACAGCATCTTCAGTAAGTCAATCAGTTTCAATTTTCTTGTCCAGTAGAAGAACTGGAGAGCCTTAATTGAATTTTTTACTTTTTGACTTTACGATGTTACCTTGTACTATTCAAAACTTTCTTCAGAGAAATCGCCGACTTTCCTGATTCTTCATTACCGACTAACTTTGATGCTCGTCTCAAATGGCCGCATTGTCCATCCATTGCACGAATACCTAACCAAGGAGGATGTGGAAGCTGTTATGTAGGTTTTGGGTCCAGACTTCAAAAAAAAAATTTTAATTCTTCGCTTAAGGGAATTCGTGGAAGAGTTCTTTACATTATTACAAGGACTTGCGCAGATTTTATGCAAATATTCTAGGGTGCTTTACATCTTCGGTAAAATGCACAATTTTTTCTTGGCGTATGTATTGGAAAATTTACTCACTCCTGAATTGACGTACTATTAGCAGGCCATTGGCGTATTAAGTATATAAATAACTGGCTGTTTCAAATAAATGAACAATTTTTTAATGTAAATTTATATAGCAAATCTCTTCATAAGCTCTACTTAATAGATCAGTTTCTCACTTAAACATTTTCAAGAATATTTGTTATCTTGAAGATTACCGATATGAAATTATTTTTCTGCAAAATTTTACGCGAAACACCTTTTTAAGGCAGTTGCCGCCGCCGGAGTAGCTTCTGATCGAGCATGCATCCAATCCAATGGCACTTTCCGTGCGTCTCTCAGTGACGAGGATGTTTTGGGTTGTTGTGAAGTGTGCGGAAACTGCTATGGAGGTGATCCGTTGAAAGCGATGGTCTATTGGGTCAATCAAGGGATGGTTACGGGTAAGTGGACAAACTCGATGATGTGTCATATTTGTACTGTAGAACGTCCATCTTATAGGTGGACGAGATGGCTGTCGACCTTA